GACCCTAACCCTAAAGTTAATTCAATAAAATATATATTATAAGAATCTGCTCCGCTTTAGACGTCCCCCTTATTTGGTAATAGTGAAGTAAACGCTAATCACAACAAATATCACATTGATCACGTGTAATATAATTTATTGGTTATTTAGATAAATTTATATCACATACGTTATTCATATATTACACTTATTATTGTATTACCGATGTGCAATAAATTTTTTATCTTCAAATCTCCACTTACACCTGAAACATTTAATGGCAATGGAAGTTTTGTTAAAACAAGTTACGCTATGAATTTCAAAAAACCATTTTATAAGCGTAATTTAAATTCAAAAATCTCAAGTAAATGTGGAACCGAGTATGTCAAGTAATGTAACCGAACTAAAACAAAGTAATCAGCATAGCGATAATGATTTTAATAAGACTGGCGGCTTTTTTACAACTGTAATTTTACTTTTCTTTTATAATAAAGCTTTAATTTTTTGATAATTAATTCATAAAATACATTTGAATTAGATCAAGCCAATTAAAGAATTGAATAAAAATGTAGAAAATCAAGGTTAGTTATATTTAATTATAAATACGTATTTATTATAAATATTTATTCTTATTATTATTAAACTAATAAATATTTGTAATATTTAGTACAAAAATTATCAGATTATAGAGTTAGTCGTATATTTTATAATAAATATCCGTATATTATAGCTGTGTATAAAATAGGTAGCAAGGATCGGTGGCAACATTACAAAGTAATTAGACTTGGCCATTATCCATCTGTTTCTAAATTTACCCGAAAAAAGAAAGGTATCGCATATCAAATTCCTGATGAATATGAAATTGAAACAGATTTATTAGGATTATCTGTAAGATGTAAAACTAAGTATCAGCAAACTGGTGATGTTAGCTATACAATTAGTTGGATAAATTCCTATGGCAGTGTAGTATCAAGTAGTAGTATGATCTCAGCAAATAATGCCGGAACTAAATTTTTAAAGGTAATTATAACTTAAAAAAAAACTATTAAAATTATTCTATTTTATGTATTTTAATTGAAAAAATAAAATTATTATAGGATATTTGTAATAAACAAAATACACATGTCTCTGAAGTATTTCTATTTGGTTTTGATATTGATTGTCTGCACAAGGCAAGAATAAAGACTTCTACAAATTGTAAACATCCTTATATAGAGTTAGAGTCAAATTCACAAAAAAACAAACGGATTGCACTAGTAGCTAAAGATTTAAACATTCAAATAGTAGATCTTTTTCGAAATCATCAATTTGTTGACTCATCAGGTGGAAATATTGTAAAGCTTGAATCAATAAAGCTTAACATTGCAAATAAAGCATTAACTTTTAATTATCCATCTAAAAATGAAAATAAGCAAAAAATATTATACTTCTATTGTTCGGGCATGTGATGAGGCATCAATTTCTCATGATGGATATCGGAAATTAGCAGCTATAAACTTAGATATGGTTAGAGAATATTTGATTGAACAACAGCGTATGGAAATTAATTATCAAATTGAACAATATTTGCCGATCTCATTATTTAAAATTGATCAGTCTTTAGACAATAAAACTGGAGATGCTGTTTATCGATCAATCAAATCCTTATTAACAGTTTTAGTTCCAGTTTTAACTACTTCAAATCCAATTATTCTTTATCCTGGCAATACAATTAATATAAAAATTGGTGGCGATGGTAGAAATGTTGGCCGAAAACAAAGTCATGTTATTTTAGCAATTAGTATACTAAACGAAGGTGAAAGGGTATTAAATCCAAAGCATGTATATAGGTAAGATTTATTATTATTATTATTATTATTATTATTATTATTATTATTATTATTATTATTATTATTATTATTATTATTATTA